ATTTGATTATTTCCATTCCCCTAATGAACAATCACTATTGTGAAAGGCCTCAGGTCCCTTTGGGGAAGGCTAGAATAAAGACTAATGGTATAAACCTTCTGTGGTATACCAAGGTCCTTCTTCAAAGGGACCCAGCCTTCCCCTCATTCAAGGGGTTCTGGGTCTGTAACTGGCTCAGGTAGGGGAATTGAATGAGGGGTCATGACTCTCTATTCTGGTGATTCACATTGAACTGTTGTCCACCTGATCTAGCATTCTTCTGCCTGTATAGATCACGTAAATATTTGGTAGGTTTCCCATGTAGTTCACTCCTAGGGACACCATGGCTAAGTAGCCAATGCCGTAAGTCCACAGGAGACAGGTTGCTCTGATTACTACAGAAAGCTTGCTGTCCATTACAATAACCACGCCCACCCTGTCTCTGTTGTTTCAGTGCTGACACCTGCCCCCTACCACCTTTGGACCCAAGAAGCCCATTGTAGACAAATGTTGGATTTCTTTTAGGGTGGTTCCAACTGTTAATCCTGGATACATAAAATAGCAATCACAGGAGTCTTCAGAGATCTTGGCACCCACTTCAAAAACTTGTTCCTTAAGGTTGTGGTGAAAGATATGTCCTTGAGGCACAGCTTTTTTGGGTCTATGGGATTATTCTGATAGATCCATTCTAACATACCAACTTCCCTATGCTTTTGGGTGTCTTCTTCTACAGTGTACCAAGGTAGGTCAGGTACCTCAAGTTGGTCTAATCTAGGCCATCCGGCAGTCCATGCTTCATTGAACCAACCAAATGTGCTATTAGATCCTCTCTTCACCTCTCTTGCTGAGACATTGAGAGAAGAATCTATGCTTAGGGGCCCCATATCAAGGAATTCTGACTGATCTAATATTACATTCCTTGCACAGGTATCCCACATCCTTAGTTACCATTCCCGAGGATATTCCCCGAGCTTCTGCTTGTATTTATTAGAACATTCAAGCAGATCTTTATGAGTATAGCGTACTTCTTCCTGGGTCATCATCTGAACCTCACCTTTAGGAACTATCTGGGACTTAATTCCAGTTATAGGTCTAGAGGAAATAATGGGTGGTGGGTGTGTTTCCTGGGGGCTCTCAGCAACATTTGATAAGGCATCTCCCCAGGCAATACTCCGGATGCAGCCCCACCTGGCACTTCAGCTTGAACAGTTTGGTTAATCTGTTCAAATGTGAGTTATTTTACTGATAGTGGATTAATCCCCTCCGGTAGGAGGGATGGATCTATTGACTGGGGTGACTCAATAGACTCTGGGGTCTCAATAGCTTCCTCTTCTGGATCATCAACCCATATGTTCTCATTTTTCAGGGTTCCATTTTTTTCTAATGAATTCCTTTACTTTAATATCAGATACTGTTCTACACCTACAATTCAGCTGACACTGTAATTCAGCTACTCATCTGATGAGACTCTGGATATGGTTTCTGACAAGGTCAGCTCTATTGCTAGAGGAGAGAAGGCTCTCCTTTGTAGCACATGCAGAAACTTTTAGGTCTCTTATTCAGCACTTGAGACGTGTTTCTGAGATTCTGAGATTATCCTTTTCCTTGATCACATTTTCTATTGTAAGAGGACCAGACACCCAGCTTCCCTATACTTCTCATCCTGAAAAAATTGCTGGAAAATATCAAGCATGTGATCACCCAGAGCCTCTCCTCTTACCAGGACTTCATCTATTGGTGGTGATATTGTGGATATTAATTTTGCCACTTCACACCATGGATTAATCCATGCTCTCTAGTAATAATGGCAGACTTTTCCATGCTTTTAGGGATCGAGGTAGCATTCTCAGTGCTGTTAGGCCTAATCAGGCTGAAGAACCTATTCAAGAAGTCCACATTTATGAACCTGTTTCTCTACAACCTGTCCTGTTACCAATTGTGTTAGGCGGGATATGGATAGGTTTATACAGTGAGAAGGAAAATAACAGCTAATTAGTCCACACAGCAGAACAGAGGGCTCAGTTCCACTCATTTCTGTGGAACAGTTAATACACTGGAAGTCCTTCAACTCAAGTGGGCTGCTGAGTCCAAGGTCAAGGAAGCAGACAATGGAGAGTCCTCCTTTGGGAAAAGCAGGCAGAGTCTGCCATCAGGAAGCAAACAGCAGGGTGGGTCATGAACAATCAGTAGTTTGGGAGCTTAGCGGCCCATATGGGATACCAAACAAAAGCAATGCAAGGCGACAGGATCCACCCACTTCAAGTCAAGCAGTGTGTACATGAAGCAGGTCTCGAAGGAGCCTCAAGCTCTAGTGGCATGATCCGTGATGCATAGGTTGGCTGGGCCCACAGGTGTGTGGCACACAGCTTGAGGCAGAGAACTAGCTAAAGCAGCAGCATGCTGGTCTGATCAGAGATCAAGAGAGAAGGGGGCGGGCCTTGCAGAGCCTTTTATCTCTTTGTCCTCCAATCAAACTGAGACCTGATTAATCCCACATATTCCTATTGTCCAGGTGGGCAAAATAAACCTACTTATCACACAGTGTAGGGTCCACAGTACATGAGAATTTTGTACATCCAGTTACTGAGCTTTGCCTAAGGAAGTGACCGTTGGCATATTTTCTCGATAGGAGTTAGGTCCCCTAAACTAGCTTTTGGCTTCAGTGATAAGATTTTGACTGTGTTGCTCCATTCTTTTCTCACCATTCAGATTAGTCCATACCTAACCTCTAGCATGATATTGCTCGTTCCAAAGCCCATAAAATTCATGCTTTGCTCATATTGGATATTTGGGTTATATTTTGAGAAGTTTATTTTGTATTTGAGATGCTGCAATCTTCTTTTATAATTTAATAGTTTATTTCTTGTTCCTTTGGGCTTGGGCCATAGGGTATATGCTTGGGCAAAGTTTGAATTTCCAGTGTTATTTTGATCAAAATCTAACATTTCTAGTAAGTGAGAATATTATTTAACTTAAATACATATTTTTAAAACTACAGTAGAATTGTTTAGTCAGTAATAAAGAAATTAAGCTTTTAAAAGACAATTTTTGAGAAATAAACTTTTAAAAATAAATAAATTTGGTTATATTATCTATATTCTTATGTTAGTAACAGTTTAAATTGGTGTTATGTATTAGATGTGAAAAATTAAATTGTTAAAACTGTTAATTTACAACAAAATTCATTGATAAAATTTAATTTAATTGTATATGATGTTTTAATATAGTTTGATAACAAAGATACTTAAAATTATATTTTTATAAATGATAAGGATATTGCTAAAGAGTCAAAAAGTAATCAAAAGGAGAAAGATTTCTACAAATATGGATGATATATATTTTTATTAAAGAAATATCACATTATTACATTTAAGAAAAAAGTATTTGGTAAATAAAAAATTTACATTAATAGGTTGTTTTCAGAAGAATATTGAATGATAATATTGAGATTATGAACTTTTACTTGAGAAATGAGCAGATTTTAATACATTTAAAATATCATATATATATTTAATTATGAAAACCTATTATTGGAATTCATAGTGACCCTATAGAAAAGAATAAAAAACCTCCACAAGGTTTCTGAAGCTGAAAATCTTTTTGGAAGTACACTGCCCACAGACTGGCTGGTGGGTGTTAATCACCATCTTTGGTTAGTATTCCAACCCTTAAGCCACTCTGCCACAAGGTTGTAGAAACAAAACAACAACAATAACAAAACTCAATGCCATCTAGTCAATGCTAACTCATAGCAACCCTCTAGGACAGGGGAGACCTGCCCTCGTAAGTTTCCAAGACTGTATGTCTTTGTGGGAACAGAAAGCCCCGTCTTTCACCCACAGAGCAGCTGGTGATTCTCAGCTTGAAGTTAGCAGCCCAAGATGTAACCAATATTCCACCAGGGCTCCTTGTAGTTATTACAATTATTTAAAAATTGTATGTCCTGCTGCGTTTATTGATTATGTAACATCATTTGACTATGTGGGTAACAAGTGACAAATTTCATTGCAAAGAATGGAGATTCCACCAACTTAAGGCATTGTGTCAGGGCTGTATTCTTTCAACATAGTTATTGTATTGTATGCTGAGCAAATAGTCTGAGAAGCGGCATATATTTTAAAAAGGTGACATCGGTATTGGGGCTGATGATGACACAACCTTGCTTTCGGAACTCTAGCATTTGAGGCACTTACTAATGAAGATCAAAGACCACAGTCTTCAATATTGCTTACACCTTAGCACATCGAAAACAACAATTCTTACACCTGGATAAGGAAGTAGCAGCAAGGAAGTTGATGAGGATTTTACTTGGATTTATAACCAACAGTCACAGAAGTAGTGGTCATGAAATCAAAATGTGTATTGTTGTGTGTACATCTGCTGCAAAAGGCCTCTTTGAAATGTTAAAAAGCAAAGTTGTCACTTTGAATGTTAGAGCAAGTCTGACGCAAGTCCTGGTCTTTTAAAGTCTGATAGCCATGCAAAAACCAGACAATGAACAAGGATGAAAAATAATTGATGTGTCTGAAGTATTGTGCTGCTGACGAATATTAAACGAACTGTGGACTGCCTGAAGAATTAATAGATCTGTATTGGAAGACGTTCAACCAAAGTCCTCCTTGGCAGTGAGGATGGTGTGACTTCTCACACACCGTGGACCGGCTGTCAGGGGGGCCCAAATCCTAGAGAAGGATGGCATGCTTGGTAAACAAAGGGCCGTGGACAAGCCTCTCAATCTGATTGATTGACGTGTATCTTTACCAAGGGGCTCAAACCTAGGAAAGGTGGTGTGGATGACACAGGACCGCTGGATGTTTTGTTCTTTTGAACATAGGATTGTTAGGCGTTGACACGGACTCAATGGCATATAAAAAACAAGCCAACAAATCCCCCCAACCACATACCCTTGTAAATAAATGATTTATTTTCAAGCCTGGTCCTAAAGAATCTAGAATTAAAATAATTTTTTTCATATAAAAAGAAGTTAATTTAAAAAATATATTTTTGCTTTTCTTTTTCAGGTTCTTATGCATGGATAGGAGCTATGCAAGCTCGTACTTTTAGCCCTTTAGGCAGCAGGGCTTATCTGAATAGCTCTGTGTATCACTGCTCAGCCAAGGCCTGCCATCTTCAATTCCATTACTCCATGGATAACAGTGTTTTGAGTGTAGGACTGTATAGCAATCAGGTAAGGAGACTCTTGCATTTATTTCAAATGTATTGAACAAACAAGGTGTCTATTGGCAATTTGTGTTTCTATCATTCATGCATCATCTAGTTGCTGTATGTATTCTTTAACTTGGTCTAATTTGGTACAGATTTATTGTAAGGTTGAGAGAAGAGACTCAATTCAGTCATGAGGCCAGGCAGGTTGCAAAGAGCAAAGTTCATTTTGTGCCTGGGTGTAGACAAGTTGAGGCTATACTACGCTGTCAGCCCCGAGCTCAGGCACTAGTGTCCTTATATAGTGTGCAGAAATGAGGAATGGACTTGGACTCTCAGGGGGCGGGGGGTAGGACATACAGATTGGGGTCTTCTTGATCCATGGATGTCATGAGAGCTCCCGTTCGTCATTTTTGATCTTCATCGATAGTGGTTCACTGATTTTTCATGGTCTCATTGCCCTTGATTTGGTGGTTTCTGACAAAGGCACATTCTTTGCTGTTTATGGAGAACGTTTTACAGGGTCAGCCTTGGGGCAGAACTATACAGGGTGCCTTAGGGGCAGTCGTGGAAGTACTCTGATCCTTAGCAGATTCTATGAAGTCTTGCATCCCAGACTGTTTTCTTAATATATAGGATGAGGGGTGTGTCTTTGAGAGATACTTCAAGCTGGCAGTGGGTGATGTGGTTGTCCTAGGATCTAAAGGGTTAAGGTTGTCCTGGGATGGAACATGGCTGTGAGTTTGCCATGGAACATATTGACCCAGAATTTTTGTTGCCTCAAATTTGCACTGTGTCTTAGAGTTCCTGTATGCCTTGAAAATGAGAAGTGGTGTAAAGGTGATGAGTGAGCGCAGTTATAAAGGGAATCAGGAGTGGGATCAGGCATGGCTTGATGTGTTGCCAGATAGTTTTGAACCAATGACGGTCTTTGGGTAAGGTTAGCTATTGTTAATACCCCGGGTGTTCTGGCAGTTGAGGTTGGACAAGCTGAGTTAGGAGTTAGGTCTGAGTTAGGTCTCTTTACGTTAGGTCTCCAGGGTTTGTAAAGTTTGGTATATTGTGGAGATAAAAAGAGCAGCTGCCGATGCCCTGTGGGATGAATGATAAAGAAAAGTAAGAGAGTGGAGAACGATACCTCCCCCCCAGGAAATAGTTGAAAGGAGCCCTACAGAGTAAGCCGTGGCAGCTCCCATGGTGTGTGAGTTTCTGACTCTCAAGGGTTAGGACTTCTGTGACGGCCATTACCCTTAGGCAGGGTGACCATCCCTGTGGAGTTGGGGTCTAGTTGCCTGGATGAGTATGCAACAGATTGCAGAGAGGGCCCTAGTGGTCCCACTGCCATCCCTTGCCTTTCATCAGTCTGCAGCAGGAAAGGGTTAGAGAAATGTGGTAGAGTGAGGATTGGGGCCTAAAGAAAGGCTTCTTGAAGGGTTTGGAATGGGGTATGGATGGAATGTGAGGAATCTTGGGGCTCATGAATTGGGCCCTTGGATGCCTGGTATGTAGTGGCTTAGCTAAGGGAGCAAAATTGAGCGCCTGTGGGTGAAAGAATCCAGTGAGACCGAGAAAGGAGGGCAGGGCTTATTTGTGATTGGGGGCTGGGAGATTTTCTATAAGAGTTAGTCTCTCTGAAGGTTGAGGCTCCGTTGTACGTGACAGTGGTGCTGGCTGGCTGAGCTTTAGCTTTGGACACTGTATACTCTTGAAGTAAGAAAGTTTAGCAATGGAGCAGTATGGTTAATGGAGAGTTGAAGGGAAGGGCTACACAAGAGCCAGTCATCCACATATTGTAGTAAAACTGACAGGTTGCGAGTTACCGGTTGGAGATCTGACGAAAGTCCTTATCTTGGACGTCAGGATGGAGGCAAAGGTGAAGAAAGCATCTTTGATCCCCAGAACTGAGACATGGATGATCGTGGAGGGTATACAAGAAAGTAAAGTGTAGGGATTGGGGACAATGGGATGCAAAAGGACACAAGGAGATATGTTCCATTAGGATTTTTTGACAGCATGGTAGACAGCAACACAGGGTGTGTTAGTGTCCCAAACAGTGGAATTTACAGTATGGAAAGGGAAATATGAGGGGAGAGACCTGCTAGAGTCTTCCGGATAATGAAGGAGCATGAGGAGGGCGGTGGAGGTGGGGGGTACCAGCTTGGGCAGCCAGTTCAGCACGGGAGTCTGGAAGAAGAGGGTACCAGGAGTGTGAGATTTGAAAGGATGCCTCTCCCTCTCCCGAGCAATGAGGTAGGGCAGAATGGACGACCCAAAAGGAGTGGCTGACAATATAATGACCATCGTGGCTTTGTAATAGCCAAGGGAGGAGAGACAGTGCCACCACCGCCAGCAGTGGAGACCTGTGAGCATTGTAAAGAGCGTTGTATTCGGTAAGGCTGAATAAGTCACCCCATGTGCCCAGAAAGAATGAGAATGGCCTATACGCTACCACAAGGGGTGCTGGAGACTTGGCAACAATGATGGTCGGCGGTCGTCCTTGGGCCCCTTCAGCTTTCTGTAGACGGACGGACGTAAGAGCTCTGTGGGCTCTGCTGGAAGAGACAGAATGCGGCCTTGAGAAGCTTGGTTCCAGCCTGATTTCCAAGGTGGGTCTTCCCAGGTTGGGCAGGGCTTAGTTGGGAGCCTTGGGTTCGCACTGCAAGATGGCTCAGGGCCCAGGCTACACGCTTGAAAGGAGCTCCTGGTATGGGGGCATGTGAATCCAGGAGAGTCCTGGTTTTGCTCCAGTGAGCGGCCAGCATGGCAGCAGCTAGCATCTGGTATTTAGCCTTTTCTCTCGCAGGGCATTTAGGGCTTTGGCCTCATCCTGTCCGCTATTGAAACTGTAAAGGCAACGTTCGTCAAGTCTCTTTGTGGGGTTTGAGCACCTTCATCTAGTTTTTTTTCAATTTCCTTCTTATGTCCTAGGCAGATTGAACTAGTTGGCCTTCCGGACTGGTGGATCTAGAGAAGTGAATCTTTGGATAGACTCTGTGATTTAGGATAGAAAGATGGCGGTGTTTTCTGTGGGCTCCAGTGTTATTTCTTTGAGCTTGTCATAATTTGTAGCTATGTGGGCAGCTATTTTAAAGCCTGCCACAAGGCAAATAATCTCCATTTCTCCTCCCTTGACCATTGCTTTGATAGTTCCAATTGGGCTCTTCTCTGGGGCCTGCCACCTGTCTGATAGGAGGGCGAGTGTCTGTCTGTGGATCTCATCACCATGGGCCTTAACATTTTTTCAAATTTAATTTTTCTCCTCAGGGGTTAAAGTAGAGGAAAGGATAGCACACAGGTCATGCCAAGTTAATACATATTACGATTCAGTAACATACCCACATGCTTTGATGTATGGGTAGGGTCAGCTGAGAAAGTGCCTAACCCTTTATGTATACGTGAAAGGTCTGTGAGAGAGACAGGGACATGGGTGTGAACAGGAACAGGTAGTTGGGGAGGGACAGGTCACTCAGGTCCAGTGTGGAGAGGGAAGGGGAAGAAAGGCCCGATGGGGGCTCCCAGGAGAAGTGCAGTGGAGAAGAGCTGAGTGAGAGAGAGGGGTGGGAGCCTCAGAGGCACAGCGATTGGGATGGATCTGAGGAATCGTCCACTCGGGGAGAGGAGTGAGGGACAGGAGAGTGGAGGAGGAATCACTGGGAGAGCAAGCAAGGGGCCTGGACCTAGGGAACCTTGGACCATTTATTTTTGGTGGTTTCTGCAAAAATTATCCAGGTCTGTAAGAATATTGAAATCAAATATTGAAATCAAAAGTACTAGTTTTTAGCCACCTGGATTGGTTATTTAGCACATAAGTATGCTGCTCATGCACCGGTGTGTAAACTATGAGGCACTTGGCTGAAGGTCTGGACTCAAATGGAGAGGGTGGACGTGGCAAAGCAGTCAACCGAGGGGAGAATTTCGGGGAGGCTTTGTTTGGGAGATTCCCATGGTGAGCAGTATCGGGAAGCAAGGCCAAGAGGCACCCAGCCTGGTCTTAACCTCTCTCAGGAGGATACTCAGTGCTCCAGGCTTCCCTGGAGTCACCAAGCCCTGGCAAAGATTCTCCTGACCAATCTTGGATTTAGAAAACTACCAGTGTAGTTGGAGTTACCCCTGAGGGAAGGGAAAAACAGGAGCTCTTTGGCAGGGCTGGGACAAAGTCTACTCACAAAAGGAACCCTGTGGACCGCAATGAAAACTTTGAGGTTGGAGCTGAGACCCAAAGCCCATCTATGGACAATGAAACATCCCCCACAGAGGTTGCAG